TGGTAAGACAAAGCAAAGAAAAATAATCTTTATATTTTTTTACCACTTATGCCTAGACTAATTAATATTACTATTCAGTTTAATTAAAGCATATCTAGTTCGTCTGGGGGACTCTATCGGTTAAATCAAGTTCATGCCTGATTAGTTACGCGCACTTATATATAGCAGATAGTTGCGAAGTTTGTAATAATCTACATCACTTTCCTCAGTTTTAGTTTGTTCTCGCAACATTATAATTTAAAATAAATACTTGTAATCATTCTCGCATTATTTTACTTTACGTAATTAACATGTTTTCTAAATCAAGAACAAGAGAACTGCAAGTGAAGCAAGTAACAACTCGATCGAAAAGAATACGTTTGGATGAAGGTGACAACGTTAATGTTCCAATGGACAACAATTTATTAGTAGATGATAATTCAGCTACGGAGCTTGATTTGTTAAGAGATGCACTACGATCCATTGGAATAATTGCCCCAAAGCGCCGTAGTCGAACTACATTACTCGAACTTTATCCTAAAAATAAATAATTCATCAGATTCGGGAATCACCGCTATATACCCAGCATCCGCCTTATCGCAATCGCATCCACCATCAGTCGCAACGGACACATGTTCACATTCTTAGCCTTCTACTCAAATATTACCTTTTCTCAATAATGTTATGCCTCATCAATGAATGAGGAGTGCTTAGCAGTCGTGGATCTTAATTTCTTGCAAACCACATTATCAGCTACCAACGATGAACTTAAACAAAAGAATGAAACAGCAGTCAACGATCTTGAACAAGTGCTGCGTAAGTTGATAAGCGTTTCTTCTATTCCGATAAGAGAGGATGTGTTGTTATCAAAACCGGTTCCCATCGCCAGTATTAAAAAAGACTTGGTTCTCGTAACCCCAAAGGTCCGAGAACTTATTTTATCTGGTGGATACGTTAACTTATCGCTGCTACTCATACCATCGGCTGGCAATAAGTCATCTGGTATAGATTCATGAGAGAAAAGCAGGATACACGGCTGAATAAAACGTTAACTATTCAAGAATTTCTCACAATGTTTAATACGTATACAGCAATATTTTGTGGAAAGCATCCGAGTTGTCGTGCTGAGTTTACTGCATACATATCGGAAATTATCGCTATGTCAAATCATTATGAAGGTGGTTTTTACGAATATCATAAGTCATTTGCCCGAACGGCCGGCGATCGTGTCAAAAACAAAATTAAAATGTTTTTTTTGTTTAAACATTTTTTATTCGCGAAATAATAGTAAAAAAAAGTACGCCAACAAAAGAAACACATGTACAGCAAATCGAGACACTTCTACCACGGAATTCTTCTGTGTAAGTTTCCAAACATCTTTATCTCAAGTGAAGAAAAAACAAACAAATATCGAGATTACTTGAGTAATAATAATATAATAATTGAATATTATAAAAAATTATTGAGTCTTTTGTTGCTCTAAAAGAGCGGAAACCACAGGAGAAGTTGTTTTTTCGCCCAAATAAACATTATTATACTCTATATCGACAAAGAGACATTGTCTTTCAACGTACAAAAGACAAACCATCTCTGCAAGCGTCTGTTTTATACTGGAAGGTTCGGAACATAGTGAATTGAGAAGAAGCAAACAAAGATATTTTAAAAAATTAGCTAGCCATTTTACGTCGCCCCATGATTTCTGGAAAGGAATAAATCGAGCTAAGGACAGTGGAAATGATTTACCAGCGACAGTATTGCTAGAAAATAAGCGAGCGAGTACGGAAAAGGAAAAGGCGGATCTTTTTAATGCATTTTTTATCAAATGCTTTGAACCAAAAAAAGGGCCTTGCAACAAATCTAAAACAGCTACAGAAGATTTGTTCGTCCTGATTCCGCCAACGATAGTAGAAATATTAGAAGCTATTCGTGGGCTTAGAAATGATATAATGCAGGACCAGATGAGATCACTGTGCGTTTACTGAAAGAATGTGCCGTTGAGCTTATTGACCAAATCCACCACCTGTTTACAATTTCGATCAAAAACGGTGTGCATCCTTCCTTCTGAAAGTTGGTAGATGTAATCTCAATTCACAAGAAGGGCCCAAAAGCAATGATAGACAAGGTTTCTCTTTTGTTGATATTGAGCAAAGTGCAAGAACGTTTCATATATGATCAGCTTGTCACTTATCTTGATAAGTACAAATTTTTCTCGCCGCGATAGTTTGGTTTTAGAAAGAACTGCTCGACAGTGGATGTATTACTTTTTCTTACACATAACATATTTAAAAATCTGCATGATGGGATCGATTCATTATCAGTTATGTTTGATTTTGAGAAAGCCTTCGATCGGGTGCCCTTTCAAATACTCCTATCAAAACTTTCAGCTTTGGGCGTGAAAGGTGCACCCTATCGATGGTTCGAAAGTTATCTGTCAGAGAAGAGGCAACGAGTAAATGTGGGCTCATCGTATTCAGAAACGGCACAGGTTCCTTCGAGGCTCCTTCAGGGTTCTACCTTGGGACCTTTGTTGTTTCCATCAGATTGATTCATAATTAATTGCGGATTAAATTTCAGATAAAACCAGTCACTTTTGTTCGTTGTTTTTGAGATACCGTCTAGTAGTTCCACGGGTTCTTTTTAAAGTCAATCGATAGAGAATTGAATTTTCTACAAAACCTGTAATTTTAACCTAGAAGGTATATCTTTTATACAGCTAGTTTGTCTTATCAACCAAAGATCAAATGTGTAGTGTCAACCAATACGAAATGAAAATAGTATATGATTTAT